GCAAAAAGAGGCAAGGCAGCTGGACCTAACGACGGTGACAAAACAGAAAGTTCCTCGCTCTTTCTCCTGTCTCATTTGGTCCAGCTCAAAAGCGCCAAACGGACATTTATGCTCTCCACAGAAAAGCACGGGTAATAAAAGAGGAATGTAGAAGAAATAAGAAACGGATAGACAAGCCCCGGTCACTCGCACAGAGGTGACAAGTTATCTGAAACCAAAAGCCAAGGGAAACAAGAGCCCAACAGAGCGCCACTCCGCCAGGATTAACTCTGACCATCAAACTGCCTGGACAAATAGTGTCGTCAACAGTTTTATTTCTGGGGTTTTTTTCTTCTGTTTTTGCTTTTGCTTTTGCTTTTTTGTTGTTTGTTTGTTCGTTTGTTTGTACGTTTGCTTGTTTGTTTGTTCGTTGGTTTGTATGTTTGCTTGTTTGTTTGTTAATTTGTTTGTTTGTTTGTGGATGTTTTTTGTGTTTGTGTGTGGGGGGGAGGGGTTGAGGGGGGTGTCTTTAACATTGCATTTTTCTTTTCAAAGGCAGATAAGATACCTGACGACAGCGGTGCCGCAAAAGTAGGTACAAGAGAGACAGATACTATATCTAGTATAAAAACTTAAACAGAGATTACAGCAGGCGGTTCTTTGATGTATTCCATTCGCTTTGTTTGGTCTTTTTAAAAAAATAGTTTTGGCTTTGGCGTTTTGTTGTGTGTTGTGCTTTATTTGTTTTGGGGGGGTTTTGGGGGAGTGGCCAACCAACGACATCGTCTGACCATCTACAATAAATAAATAGATAGATAGATAAATAAATAAATAAATTTAACGTCAGACATTAAAAAAAATTCGTTTCAAGAACAAAGTCTTAAAACATATATCCCTAAATACTAAACTCGCGCAACGATCCTTTCGGGAGACTGCATGGACACGCTTTTGAGATAACAGTCACGTTGCAGTTATGCCTTAAAAAACAAACACAAAAAAACCCTTCTATTTGATCAGTAGCCAAAGGTCGAAGGACCCCAGCATGTGTCAGCACGTGCTGCGATGGACCAGAACCGAGAGAGCAGACTCGACCGGAACCTCAGAGCTGGTGATGGGGTAAAGGCAACGCCCTTTGAAACGTGACTACACCAGGCAGTATCTGCTTGCTTTGATCACCCATACTACCGATAGCCTGCTTGCTAGTTTGTTAATGTCGGATAATAATTTAATTACAAGCATAATATTATCGACAGAGTGGTGACTATACATATCTAGCACAGTTGAAAGGCTTTTTTTTTTAAAACTGTTCAGAAATGTAGTTTTAGTAAGAGTTTTATGACACATGAAACACAAATAGGTCATAAAAGGGCCGAGGATTAGATTGTCATTGGGGAGTGATGTATACAAAGAAAAGAAAATAAAGACGATACGTCTTTGATATGAAAAAAAAAACACCAACAACCCCACAACAGAACACCCGCCAACCACCCATGTATCTTCTTATTTTCATCACTCCTGGAGTCCTTTTTTCGCTTGTTTGTTAGCGTGTTAGTGTTAAACTATATAAACAAGCATATTATCGATAAAATTAAATAATGAACATACATATTTAGCACAGTGGGTTTACTGTTGTTTGTATTTTTTTTCTTTGGGGGTGGGGGAGTTTATGTTGAGTTTTTTTTTTACTAAAGAAAAGCACATCGACACAATAACGATAGTCAACAATGATTCCTAGAGACAGGAGGGAGAATAACGAAGAAAACTTTGCAGCGGTGCCCTCCAACCATACGGTAAAACAAGCCAAGCAAAAATACCCCCCCCCCCCAAAAAAAAAATTAACAAACATAAAAAAGAAGAAGGGCAGATAAGGACGAAAGATGTTTGATAGGAGAGAAGGAGCAAACCACACCACAGCACCCGCAAACCACCCACGGGGTTGAATCATCCGTTATGACATCGGTATCATGTTTGGGTTTCTGAGTTAGTTCGCATTTTGTTTGTTTGCAGGGGTCGGAGTGGGGGAGGGGTGTTATGTCACATTCGGTTAGATTATTTTTGAACGGGCGCGTGAGAATTGAATATAAGAGTTACGTGTGCACGTGTAAAGTAGCAAAAAGAACGTGAATTCAAGTCACAGAAATCAGTAATACCAGACCCCAAGAATGCCAAGAAAAACAACGAGAAATGTGCATTTAAAAGTAAGGGCTACCGAAACGCCCGGATTAAGGGAACGATCTTTCCAATAGGAAAAAGCTAGTCAATATACGTAATACAAAAAGAACTGCAGCAACAAATTCCGAGCCTTGACTAGTAGGTAGGAGAGATCATGCGAAAGAAATGTTAAACCTTTCATACCTACATGAACATTTTTTAAATTAAAATATGGCACACTTTAAAGTATATTTCAGAGAAGAAGCAAAACGATTTCCCATAAACAAATTAATCTGCAATAATAAAGACTGTTTTCGCAGGTGAAAGAGGTGCCATTGTTAAAATATATATCTACACAAAAGAGGTTATAAATAGAATTCTATACTTTCATAACCTCTTTGGTCTACACCAAGTGAATGACAGAAAAATTTTCAAAAGACAAAAATATCCTAAAGAAGGGAAGGGGTCGTTGTTCCGTGTTTCTTGGAGACGTGACAACAAAGTGTTCCTTGAGAGTCTCCTTCCCGTATCGGGACGTACCGAGGATAACAATAATTCTACTGAAGCTTTTGGCAAAATTAAATACAGTATGGTGATCACGGA